TTCATAATCCAGTTTTACATTCTTTACATCAGCAGTCACAAACTAATGACCAATGAACTAGAGCTAACCAGCGAGTATTTTAAAAATCTTTTGCAGTATCTGCCAGCATGTTATAATTAGAAAAATTTACAAACACGCAGGCATACATACTTCCTCGTTTTAGGGACCCACAGCTACAGAAGGGGCAACACTGACAGGAGCTGTTAGCAACTACTCTTATTAGAAGACAGTTGTCCACAGTCGCTATGACTCTATAGGGTTTAAACCTGATGCATTTACTTATATTGCCTGACAGTCTCCTATAGGTTTCTGCATTTTTGACCCTAGGTATAACGCCTATTTGAGAAATGTATTTTAAAATGTATTGACAAGGCAAAGTTTGCCTTGCATAGGAAAGGAGGTGCTTCTTTTCTGGCAACAAGAGCCATATAACATCTTGCATTAACTACTCACAAGCTCTCAATACCAAATGTGTAGTCAACAATATATGCTAGTATCATATATGTACGTTCCTTTTTAAAATTCTGTCATTCGTTTATATATATTAATTTTGTAAGTTTCTTATGAAAAATATGTCAAATCCTTTTTGCAAAGAATCAGCATGCACATATTCTTATAGGAGGAAACACTACCTAAATTTTATTTAAGAATGACTCAAGTAAAAAAATGAAATGAGAAAATAATGTGCATTAATGGAATATTTTATTTGAGGATTAAATTAAGCCTTTAGCTACAAACACTCATGAGGAAAAATAAAACAGAATTTCAGCTCAACTACTGTTCATATAATGACTGTCTCTAAATATTGTTCTTACAAGATACCTAAAAAGCCAAGAACATAATTTTCAAGAATGTACTTTAAATATAACAATGCAGCAAACTTTCAAGTAAGAATTTAGCTATCAGATTTGCAGTTGACTTTTTACATGAAGCCAGACTGGACTGCACAATTTTAATAGTAATGGCTTAATAGTCTGCCATATGGATAATATGTTTGGGTAATTAATGATATATAGAACGGCAGTACTCAAATATAAATTTAGTGTGTATAAACTAAAAAAAGTGTGGCTGCTATTCTTAGGTGACTGTGTTCAAACATATACATTTCTAAAAGGTACTGCATGTATTACAAATGAATTTCTTCTAAGTATTTTTCTCTTTTGCATATGATATTTTCAAGATCCGTATAAAAGCCACATTGTTAGATACTATAATCAAATTAACATGGTGATATATAGTGCTTTTAAAATGGCTTTTATAAAATGGACTGAAAAATACTTCTATGCATGGACATAATTAATGTATTTTAAATGCTACTGAGTAGCAGAAGACTGCCACTTTGTGTTGTTTATAATGATTGTTGTTTTGACTTTTTAAATAGGTTAAAAATCTAAAGTAGGAGCTATCTGTATATGTATGGCTGATTCATTCTGTTGCGCAGTGGAGGCTAACACAACATTGTAAAGCAACCATACTCCAATAAAAATTAATTTAAAAAATCTAAAGTAAAAACACAAAAGCATGACAATACAATCATATACTATAAGTTGAATTGTATACAGAATTACCACTACCATGGTACATCATTATTTTGTTTCATGAAATAATTATTTCAATGAGATAGACTCTAAGGCTTTTTAACTTTATGGTTACATTTAAGGTTATATAAATGAGAAATTTGAACTTCAATATATAAGATGCTTTAAATGAAGTTTAGAACACACAATATAAAAAGTGCCACTATGTTTTGACTTCAGTAAATTTTAGATCTATGATTATTTGCTTATTAGGTCTTAAATTATTTTTTCTTTTGATATAATAAATGGTAATTGTAACAACAAAATCTAGTAACATTGAAAAATGTTCCCCCCTTCATTGATAGTTGGAATATAATAGCACTACTGCTAAGTTCTTTGACTTGACTAAGGATGACTCTGTAAGTAAGCCAAAGTAGTACCAGCATTCTGAAGGATAATAATCCTGTATTAAGCATACTATAACATTTAGCCTTTATGTGGATATATAACAGTATATAATTTAAATTTAAAGTACATTTAAATTTACAGTACTTTTTTTTTAAAAAAAAGGAATAGCTGAGCCAAAAATCTCTTTTTGGCTCAATTTTTCCTTTTGAAATTGTAAATATTTATAAAAATAAATTTTGCTGGTCGTAAATAAAGTATTGCTTCTACACTATGGGACATGAGAGTGTTCGACCTTAATTCAAAATTTAGATAAAGACTTAAGGACTGCTTCTGTAGGCACTATAGAGTTTAGGAGCAGTCACTACGTTTAAATTGAATAACTGTGATCAGTTTCAAAAAGGGCTTGGTTATGAACTTGGTAGGTTCTCTAGTGGCTTGTTACTTTTGCTATTTTAGGGTAAGATCAATTTTCTAAAGGATGTTGGAGCTCATATATGATTATTTCCAAAGAATAAAAAAAATAAACAATCTTCCAAATTAAAAAAATTCATATTTTTGTGTGTATAACACAAATTCACAGATTTTAAAAGTACAGTTAAAAGATACCTAGTTTTTAAATGCTGTATATTTCAAATAGAGAAGATATATAGAGTGACGACTGAATACTACTTTTGAACTGTTAATCAGAAATTAAATAAAACATTTCATAAAAAAGAAGAAACAGATTTTTATATCTAAGATACAATTTATTCCCCGTATGCTTTTATTAGGTGAAAGTTAACTACTTCATGTAACAAAATAGTCATTTTTAAACTACTCTTAAAACAAAAAAGTTAATATACAGCTGAGATCAACATCAATTACAGCAGTTTTTGACAATAACAGTCTTTAAAGAGAGTAGTAAAAGAAAGATTTGATTTCTATCCAGTCAAAACAATTAGACTGATTAAACCATAAAATAATTCATTTTGATTCATGCATTGCATACGTTACACTGTTTTTTCTTTAACAGTTACTTTTATTGAATTAAATAAAAGCAAAGAATTGATTTCTTGTGATTATGCAATCTAAACTTGTTATAAGTCAAATGGTAAAGGCAGCTGTAATGAATACCTGAGGAAGGTTTTGAAAGCGTTCTTCCCTAAGAATAACAAAATTATTAGAGATAATTCCTTCTAATAACTGTTTTTTTAAGAACAGGAGAAAAGAAACATGATATTCAAATAGTTATAAATCAGTAAACTATCGTTAGAGCTGATTCCAAACATTATTCCCTTGAGAATTAATTAACTTTCTGCAATGAAGACAGAATCGATTTTATCTTACTTTGAAACCAACTGTCAGTGGCTGGTTGGAGTAGTGCATTAGAACAAAGCTCAGAGGGAAATTCTGCAGTCCTAGATGGTCTATCTATATGTCTGCAATGGGAGCAGGAGAGAAATGGTGGTGTCTGTGTTGAGGATTTGCTGACCTTGTTTTTATACACTTTCTTTTAATCTCAGAACTATTTCATAAAATTGTCTGTCATTATGGGTTCAAACATACAACATAAGCAATGACAAAAATTCCTGTGTGTTAGAGCTCTAACTAAACTTTAATAAAATATGGTATGTTATAAATATTATTAAGTATACCATATTTAGAGTTTATCCCTAAGATAACATATAGTGGCTAACTGGATGTAAGAAAAAAAATCCACAGGTTATATCTGTATGAGTGTTCCTATGAAGATACTTAGTTGTAACATTATAGTGATTTATTCTTGTAATTTCCTCTACAAGGTGAATTACTAATTACTATTATACTGGTTTCCCATGGTCTGAACATTCTGAGAAATGGCAAATTCTCAGTTATAAATAAGTTTAACATTAATCATGCTTCTTTTCAAAGACATGATAGTTAACTTCAAAAGCACTGCTTAAAATTAAATTTCATTGTCTAATGAGTTATAAATTCCACTGCTAATTTGTTTCTGAATGAATGTCCATATATTCAGAATATTTATATGTATTGTTTAGTATTTCCCTATTGCTTACATTTAATAAATTAAATATCTAAAAACAATTCATGTAATAGCATATATATTAGATTTTTTTACTATGGTTCTAGTTACAAATATTAACTATATAATAAGAGTGTATTTTATTCTGTAGTTTTTAAAGTAAAGAGATTCATTTTTACAGATGATTAATTTGTCACACTATGACAATTGATCACAACTCTTTAACCTGTTAGGTAACATAAAAGTATAATGTTTTTAGATGGGGATGTTATATTATAGACAATAAAGTCTTAAATATTTCCATCATTAAGTGTTATACCTAACAAAAAGTCAAACTTAGTAATGAACTTTCATTTCCATATCCTTAAAATATGAAATGGTAAGTAAATTTTCTCTATTAGTTTTAGTAAAAATAGCTTAAAATCTTAAAAGAAGGCAATCCAATGATAGTATCAACTTTTTCTTATCTAACAGTTGGTCTCTGATTAACATTAAATTGAAAAATATGAATAAAATAAGTTAAAGATTGACAAGGTATCCTAAAATAACATTTGAGGCACTGTATTTTCATAATTGTAAAGCAGCTATTTTTTTTTAATAACTGAGAAGCAATCCTTAACCTTTATGAAAAGATTTTCCTTCTAAAGCCTGAAATTCAGCATTATAATGTAGAAACATTAGACATGCAAAACACCTAGCAAGCTCTAGGAAACCAAAAATCTGCAAATGTTGATACATATTGTACTATAGAAAGCAGACCTTCCTAACAAAATATGGTTCACAGTAAGGCGTAAGGCATATGATATTTTTCTGAAGAATTGTTATTGAAGAGTTATCCAGAGTCTGAAATGCTAATATGATGAAGTTGACTGGATCATTAAAAATATGAAAAAGGAACCATGTACATTATCTTTTAGGTCTTTGTTCTTCAATAGACATATCAAATATATACACAGTCCTTTTTCTTTGGGCCCAGAATACAAGTAGGATTTAATTGTGTGCTAACTACTCTATATAACACAAGCAATTACCTATTGTGAAACAAAAATAGCTATAAAGCAGGATTTCAATTCCAGTCAGAAATTCACCAAATTATGCCACAAGGAACGTTATTTGCACAACTTTTCTCAGTGCAACATCGCCATCGTGAAAGGTGGCAATGATAATATTACTACCTTTAAAAATGTACAAGTTATTTTTATTAGAGATAATAGTACATACTGACTTTGATAGTTTTCTTTCCATAACTCAAAACAAAAGGAATGTATTGAAATTAGGTGATATCTATAATTATTAAACTTTAATCAATGCATTAAGAAACAGGTAGCTGGTGATCGAATGCGTAAGTTGCTCTTTCCTTACTGTATTTTTCAGACCACTTACGAGTTAGATCTAGATAAAGACTTGGTTTATGAGGCCGGTAATCCAGGTACACGGTATTACTGATTCTTTTGGGAACAGCTTTTTCAATCTGAGTTCCTTCATGCCACTCATTAAAAGAGGTGATGGAAATTATACTGGGGTGGGCTTGGAGTGCAGCACTCAGAGCATCCTCATAATATTTCCCATTGACTCGGTTGCGAGTGTTTTGAGTGTTCCACGGACGGATGCTGGTATCTATGTATCCTGGGCCCACACTTGGGATGAACATTAGGTCAAACTGATCACAAAAAAATTTTAGCTTGGCCCAGTTCTCATAGGATGAGCCATAAGTAAAGCCATTTGTGGCAAAATACGTATAAATTCCATCAAAACCACCTCGAAGAATTTCATATCTATGTTTTTTTTCTACTAGAAGTGCAATAAACAATGCATCATAAGGAGAGTTGCGAATGCTCTGAGACCCTGAGCTGGTTAACAGATTAGCCCATTTTTCAGCTGTTGTGATATAGGAATCATAGACATAAAACAGTGGAAGAGCACTGCCATTCTTAGTCTTGTACCTGTAAAAGGCAGGATGATTTCCATATCTAGAATACAAACATATATGAAAGCAAAATGAATATTCATAACTCATTTGCAATAAACAATAATTGTTTATGTATTGAAAATGAAGGTAATCAGTGCAGTTTAAGCACATTGTTCACCTTTGGGGAATTAGCTATATAAGTGTAAACATTAAAAATGCATTTTTAATTTTATACATTGAAAAATGAGATACTGGATACATTAAGACATTAACAAACAAGCAATTATACTGAGGTTTAGAAATGATGACTAACACAATAAAAAGCCCATTTTCTACATGAAAATACTGTTTTTATTTTCTGTATAAGTGATAAATATCCCACTGTTGCTGACATGTTTTTTGTAAGAATATGGCAGCTGTCACAGACTATTATCAGTAAACCCTTAAACAAAATGAAACTGTATTAATAAATTCTTTCCTTGCAATCATACTAAATGAAAATATTAGATGTGGATCTACCATATCTAATAGCAATTCAAAATTGCAAAAGGAATTCACATTTCATACTCTGAACTTGCTTTTAAAAAGACAACTCTATAGTCATAAGATTTGCAGAATACTAATTTAAATGTCAGATGACAGAAATCATAGTCTAATATACACATAAAACAGTAAAAACAGGAACTTGTAACTATTCATACAGAAAGTGAATTATAAGGAAATTCAGAAATGTTCTTTAAAATGATTGCAGTATTCATTACAAAATTAGTTTAAACTAATTTTAATATGTCATACTGTAAGTCATTCAAATCTCAAATATAAACATACTTTTCTTATAACAGTAAGTATCATTGGATCATATAACAGTAGTTATAGGACAGAAGAAACTCACTTGTCTATAATGTATCTGACATTTTGGTACATGTTTTTATCATCTCGATTCTTATATGGTTCAATGTGAAAAGTGACCTAAAACAAAAAATATTGATTAGAGAAAAAATTATGATGTAAAAATAAAAAGGAAATCATATCCCATATTTTTAATAAACTGACTTAATAACCTTAATTTAAGATGAATGCATTTTTTATTAAAGTATAGTTGACTTACAATGTTGTGTTAATTACTGCTGTACAGTGAAGTGATTCAGTTATACATATATACACATTTTTTTATATTCATATTCTTTTCCATTATGGTTTATCATAAGATATTGAATATAGTTCCCTGTGCTATACAGTAATACTTTGTTGTTTATCCATTCTGTATATAAAAGCTTACATCTACCAACCCCCTCCCCTGGCAACTACCAGTCTGTACTCTATGTCCATGATCCTGTTTCATAGATAGGTTCATTTGTGTCGTATTTTAGATTCCACATGTAAGTGATATCATATGATATTTGTCTTTCTCTTTCTGACTTCATTTAGTATGATAATCTCTAGTTGCATCCGTGTTGCTGCAACTGGCATTATTTCATTCTTTTTTTTAAAGGCTGAGTAGTATTCCATTGTATATGTGTACCACATCTTTATCCATTCGTCTGTTGATAGACATTTAGGTTGCTTCCATGTCTTGACTATTGTGAATAGTGCTGCTATGAACATTGGGGTGCATGTATCTTTTTAAATTATAGTTTTGTTTGGATATATGCCCAGGAATGGGACTGCTGGATCATATGGTAATTCTATTTTTAGTTTTCTGAGGAACCTCCATAGTGTTTTCAACAGTGGCTGCACCAACTTACATTCCCACCAACAGTGTAGGAGGGTTCCCTTTTCTCCACACCCTCTCCAGCATTTGTTATTTGTAGCCTTTTTAATGATGGCCATTCTGACAGGTGTGAAGTGGTACCTCATTGTAGTTTTGATTTGCATTTCTCTAATAATTAGCGATGCTGAGCATCTTTTCATGTGACTACTGGCTATCTGTATTTCTTCTTTGGAGAAATGTCTATTTAGGTCTTCTGCCCATTTTTGGATTGGGTTGTTTGTTTTTCTTGTTGAGTTGTATGAGCTGTCTGTGTATTTTGGAAATTAAGCACTTGTCGGTTGCATTGTTTGCAAATATGTTCTCCCATTCTTTAGGTTGTCTTTATTTTTTTTATAAATTTATTTATTTATGGCTGCATTGGGTCTTTGTTGCTGTGTGCGGGCTTTCTCTAGTTGCGGCAAGCAGGGGCTACTCTTCGTTGCGGTGCGCAGGCTTCTCATTGTGGTGGCTTCTCTTGTTGTGGAGCATGGGCTTCAGTAGTTGTGGCTTGCAGGCTCTAGAGCACAGGCTCAGTAGTTGTGGTGCACAGGCTTAGTTGCTCTGCATCATGTGGGATCTTCCTGGACCAGGGTTTGAACCTGTGTCCCCTGCATTGGCAGGTGGATTCCTAACCACTGTGCCACCAGGGAAGTCCTGTCTTTTCGTTTTGTTTATGGTTTCCTTTGCTGTTCAAAAATTACAGATTCTCCTATACCATTAAAATAGCATTTTACAAAATAATCTACATTAAATATGTACTTATTCAAATAATTTATAACAAAATTACTTTAAAAAATCAAAAACTAGTACTATAATGGACAATAGTTTCCAGAATGCTTGTTATTGATGTGGTTTATGTATTTCTACCATGATAGCAGAAAGCAGTAACCAAAAAAGGTTATATATAAATCAAGAAAAACTAATTATGGCTCCAAAACCATTTTGTATGTCATTTATAACTAGTGGAGTAGATTAAGGGAAATACCATGTGTACTGTCTACTTAAGCTATGAGAATTTTCACTTTTATTACTAATTTTACTGACTTACCATTAAAATACTTTATGGCAATATAATAAACTAGAATATTGTCAATAAGAGTTCAGTTTCTATGAAGCATGTATGGAATTAGAGACTTCTATGCTACTGCAATATAAAATGCCTTTGTTTTCAACCACCTAATTAAAGTGAAATATATTTTACATTCATCAGTGCTACTAGTTTTCACATAGACAGCATTTAGTGAAACTACAATTCTCTACTTTTAATAAGATTTCAGTAATATACAAAGAAAGTTTTTATTAGTAACGAAGTAAGGTCAATTTCGTTTGTGCAGTATATTGTAAGTATGGCTAGGGCAGTTAGATTTTGCAGTAGCTCTGGTATGTATGTGCTTTTTAACTTCAATTGAAAGAAAAGTGGCAAGGGTATAGGTATTTTCATACTCTTATATATGGGTAATCTCCCTTTAGCTGTAACATTTCCTAAGTAAGTTTCCATTTTATACATAAAGGACACCAAATTAAGCAAATATCCTATATTATAATGAATTTGCTTTTGAAGTTGCAAACTCTACATGGCTTCCTTCTTTTTTGTAAAGTGCAGATCAACACATTTATAGTAATTCAAAAAGCCACTATTTTATACAATACTTAAGTTAGAAATATGAAGGAAAATATTAGTTGCAATAATATTACTTTGTAGGCTTAGTGAATAAATAATGTGATGTATCACCATTCCACTGTTCCATTTGGAAAAATCTATTAGACCAATATACTATAATGACTTTAAAAATGATAGAATGCTATATACAAAATCAAATGTTTGCATTATCTTTAGATGGGGAAGTAAGAGTCCTATAAGTGTTCCCTCATTTCATGCTTCTAATTTTGACCATGCACCCAAACTGTACTTCCTAGAGTGAAAATACGATGATCCTGGAGAGTGATATTAGCAATATGATGACATAAAATGTTCCTATTTATTCCTTTTTAAATCAACAAATTGGACATTCATACATGAGCAAAAGTGCCTTTGTGGTGTTCTGGGACCTAGTGTCTTATTCCAAGGAACACAGGAGTTGTCTCACTCACCACAAAGATGGTAAGAGACAAACGTCTGCTCGAGGTGGGGAATCAGAGGAGCCAGGCAAAAAACTGTGTCAGTAAAGACCCAGGCAGGCACTCACATACAAGACAGAGAACTTGCAGAAGTCTAGACCTCCCAACAGGAAACTCCAGCACATAACTGGAGAAAAAAATAAAGCTACTTTGTTTGCAACAGAAGGCAGTAGAGAAGCTTTCCTGGCACCATGCCTCTGCCCAAAGAAACACTGAAAGGGGAAAAGGAAAGCAGTGAGTGAGTGCCCAGCTATCCCAGCTAGACTGGAAGTGGCTGGAAAAATCATTTCTCCACCAGCAACTGGAGTACTAAGATGGGAGCTTTAGAACCAGGGGTAGGGAGGATATTAGGAAAGGTGCAAATTAGAACTTCAGTTGGTGGGAAAGGGATTGTTCTTAGCAGAAGTCCACCTAGGAGCCACTGGGATCACCCTACTGGATCTGCAGGTGCCCCCAATGTACCCAGTGGTAAACCCACACTTTCCCCCCACTCTATGTTTGCTCCTTGTGTGGGGGTCCCAAGTGCCACTGCAAGAGAAAGCTCCAGTAGACTGAGAGCATGCTCAGAAACCATGAACTTGAGCTATAGCAACCTTTGGGAAAATAAGAGAGGTTTCCAATAGCCAGCCTGGTGAACTGTAAGAAACAGAGATGGCATAAATGTTTAAAAACTCACCCAAAACAGTAAAAACTTGGATAATATCAACACTACAGAATATAACATACCATCTGCTGAAGGCAACAAGAAAAGAGTTAAGAAGGTATCTACTACTACATATGCAAAAACAACAATGCAAATCTAAAGGGATTATGAAACATCAAGGAAACATGGCATCACATAAAAATTATCTATTTCTAGCAATCAACCAAACTCAAAGGCACAGAATATTGCAACCTATCTGATAAAGAGTTGAAAATAGATGTTATAAAAAAAACTCAACAGGTTACAAGAAAACTCAGAAAGACAATTCAATAAAATCAGGAATAAAATATGTGAACAAAATGACCCTTTATTAAAGAAATTTTAAAAAAGAACCAAACAAAAATTCTGGAGCTGGATAGCATGCAATGCAGAGAATATGTAGCAAGGCAGAGCATATGAAGATAGAAAAACTTACTTGGAGGATAGCAATTTTGAAATAACACAAAAGAGAAGAGGGAACTTAGAAAAAGAGCAAAGAAAGCCTACATGATCTATGGATATCCATATATCCATCCATATATCCTGACAAATGTCAGGATAATCGGAATCCCAGACAGAGAAGGCAGGGGCAGGAAGTTAACTTAAAGAATAATAGCTGAGAACTTCCAAAATCTGAGGAATGACTTGGACATACAAGTCCACAAAGCTAGTAGATCATCCTAGTATCTCAATGCAAAAAGACATTCTCCAAGATATTAAAGGCAGGCAAGGGGAAAAAAAAAGAAGAGAACTTACAAAGGACTGCCAATAGGCTATCAGTAGATTTCTCTGTAGAAATTCAATAGGCCAGAGGACAGTGGAATGACATATTTGAAGAGTTGAAAGATAAAAATGGCCAGCCAAGACTACTTTATCTAGCAAAGTTATCCTTTAGATATGAAGAAGTAAAGCCTCTCCCAGACAAACAAAATCTGAGGGAGTTCACCACTATTAGATCTGCCTTGCAAGAAATGCTGAAAGGAGTTCTTCAAGCTGAAATGAAAACATACAAAATTACAAAATACTCTGGTAAAGATGAGAAACATACAGCCAGACTTAGAAAACTAATTCTGTAGGAGGATGGTGTGTTAACTACTCAACTATAGTATAAAGGTTAAATGAAAGTAGGAAAAATAACTATACCTACTATAAGTTAATAAATAATAAATATAAAAAAGAGGCATTAATATGCAAAAGGGAGGAGCAAAATAATGGATACCTGAGGGGTTAAAGTTTCTGTAAACCTAAAATGGACTGTTTTATCTAAGAGATGTTTTATGGAACACCCCCTTGATAACCACAAAGCACAAATCTAGAGCAGACGCACAAAACGGGGGGAAAAAAGAGCATACCACCATGAAAAATAACCAATTTACAAATGTAGGCAGACAGAGAGAAAAATAATGGAAATACAAAACC